AATTAACGTTAATTAATACTGCGGCTTTTAATCCGGTGCGGCTTTTGGTCGTGAAAATACGGTAATCAGTGGAACAACTTGCCTCCAGAAGTTGTGAAAGCTCCAACACTGGAAGTTTTTAAGAAGATGTTGGATAACCTATTGTCAGAAGTGGTATAGGGTTTTCTGCCTAAGCAGTGGGTTGGACTACAAGGCCTCCAAGGTCTCTGTCAACTCTTATTCTATGTATGGCATACTTCATTTTATTTTTGCTAGAAAACAAATGCAATTTAAAAAATAAATAAACTTACCTCTCCACTATCGTCTTTGCTGTGTGAAATATCCATTATTCGGTCAACTTCAACATAATCTGGATTAAAAAGTTCATCATCTATCTATTCAAGGGCAAGCATGGATAAAGGAAAAAATCAGTAAATAAAACAGTAGGGATACTATAACACAAAATGCATGTTTGGTAAACTATAGCATTAATTTAAATGCAACAATCCAGAATGATAGCATTTCTGAGGGACCTGAACTTCTTTCGCTTTGTTAACTGGGTCTCTTAATCACAGTGTAAAGTTTTTGTTATCATGTAAGAATGTTTAAGAATAGGAATGTTTAGGGTTATTTTAAATGAAGTGAGAAATTACAATTCACTAACGAACAGCCTAAAATGTTTATAGCATGTGATGCATTTAGCATTCTTGAAGATTGAAATATATAAATTGGAATTATGAAAGCTATATGCTGTAGATATAAACTTCAGAAATCACCTAATTACTGCTTAAATCATATTCAGAAAAATATATTCCTGAAGAAATAAATTAGATACCCTATTTGTTTCCTACTTTATCTTGGCAATGAACTTATTGTTTATATTTCTTAAATTTATGTGAGAACTGATATATAATTGTATACAAATCAAATCTATTATAAATACGTAGTTTTTCTTTTTATATGATATAGTGTAGTGGTTTTACTTGTTCAATCAATGATTTACAGAGATTGCCTGGATAAGTCCCTGCAGTTTTCTGGTTAAGATTTTTCAGAAGTGCTTTGCTATTGCCTCCTTCCTAGAGCTGAGAGAAGGTGACAAGCCCAAGGTCACCCAGCTGGCTTTGTGCCTAGGGCAGAACTATAACTCACTGTCTCCTAGTTTCTAGTCTCATGCCTTAACAGCTTCACCAAATTGGCTCTCATGTGCTTACTGGTACAAGCTAAAGGCAAACACACATAGCACTTTTTGAATAATTGAAAAGTTCAAGGTTTTCAGATACATTATTTTAATTGTTGAATTGGCATATTCTAAAAGCAAAGATCTTGCCAATCAGTTTTGGATACTTGGTCTTTGCTTGATATATCTCTTACATGGCAGATAACTTTATCCATCAATAGTTACTTCTAAGTATCCTTTCCACTAACTTTCCACCATGGAACCTGATTTCTATAGATCACAGATGGTTTCAGAAGAGAATGGAACATACAGATTCTCTTGAGTCATACCAAATCTAACCAATTAAGTTGTAACTTCTTTTTAATTGATTATACCATGAAACTGGTGGAAAAATTCAACCAGAGAAACTGTTCTGGATAATGTGGTGTTTTAAAGTGGACTGTCTCTAAAAAATTAATCAGTTTATTGCAGCCTGTTAGCTATTTAATTTGCAGAGAAAAGTGTATTATTCCATCATGACTGAGGAATTATTCAAATTCATAAATCATGATGAAATAATACATTTCTCTGCAAATTAGCACCTAATTCACCGCAATGGGTTGATTAATTTAAGTTGTTATGTAGCCCGGTTAATGTGGATTAACTTTGTTCATTCTCACCTGATGATCAAAACAAGGAATTTATGAAGCTGCCTATAAAGAGAAGACATTGACATACCACTTTGAAAAAGCTAGTTGGGAACATCTGAATTTCACATCTTTTTCAGCAGATATGGTAAAATGCTGAAAAATCCAAAATATTAGGTACCATCTTGATCTAAAAAGATATTTATAATAAAGGTGGAATATAATGGAGTAAGAAAATTGCTTCAACATGACAGCATAAATAGGTAGTAATCTTGAAGCAGTTTTAATATTCTATAAATGCCCTTGAGATGAGACCCATTCGGCCTTCCAAAAGAGCATGAAGATCTGGCTCTGCCAACTGGAGTGAGTCCTAATCAGGGTGTGGAACTCTGGAAGTGGCTAACGGATTACATTAAAAAACACCTCCTTGCTGTGGGAACTTTGCTCCATTCCTCTCCATCTTATTTAATTTTAACTACCTTCCTCTTATTTTAATTTTAAATTTAAGGTCCCTATTTATTGTTTATATATTTTCTATGGCATTTTTATTGAATGATTGTAAAATGCCTAGAGTTGCCTTTGGTGAAATGAGTGGCACATAAATCCAGTAAGAAAAAGTTAAATAAATAAGCAAGCATGCAAATAATAAATAAATAAATAAATAAATACTAAATAAATAAATAAATAAATAATACATGATAGCATAATATGTCTTTGCTTTTCCATGTAATCATGGAAAAACTACTGTCTTGGCAACAGAGCATTCTACTCATAATTTATGACATGGTTTATAATAGAGGACACAATTTATCAAACAGCAATCTCAAATTAAGGGTTTAATAGGAAATAATTGGCATCTTGGACACAAAAACTGAAGAAAAATTAAAGAAAATTGGTATAATTTAGTAAGAAAAATAATCTTCAGAAAGTACTGCATGTAGTATTCTGAACCAGCAATGGTTTGTGAATGTGGCATGTGACTTTATGCTGATTAGAATTGGTTTACCTAGATTAAACTTCAGTTTGTCAACTTCCAGACACTAATTCCATAGTCTACTGAGAACAGCACCCAATCAACATGAAATTAACATGAAATCTTTAGCTACTTTGTTTTCAAGCATTGCCTGAAGCTGATATACAGCTGTTGCTAACAATTTTCTAAGCTCCCTACCAGTTTGCTTTAAAGATGTAAAGAAAAGAGACAGGAGATTTGTAGTCCTACAAACCATATTTACTAAAGAACAGCACAATAAACTTATTCTATCTCTAAAGGTTTCTATAGCTTTTGAGACAGAACAATAAACAAAAATGCATTAATTGTTGGGCAGTTAAATAATTCCATATTTCCTAGAGGGGAACCTCCTGTATCTTTTGGATCACAGTGTGCTGTTTTGTTCCTTCTTCTTCTGTTTCAGTGTAAATACTCAGTCCCAGTGACACTGTAAAGTGAGGGGATATTGTGTTAACCCACATGCCAGTGAAATTAGATCTTCCCGTTATTTCACCTAGTTATGGCAGCCATAAAACTCACTATCTACCAACTACTAAATGAGGTTTCAATACTGAAACTTAATTATCAGGAGTAACTTTGTGGGCAGCTCAGGCTTCAAACTAAGTGACAGACCAACCACTATTTAAGTCAGTTTGCTTAGAAAAATAACAGGATTTTAATTAAATATTAAATGAAATAAAGATTCAGGACTAACATGTTTTTGATCAGATTCCTTTGCTACCTGTTTGGACATGAAGATGTATGACACATATTGCTCAGATCACTAGCTTTTCTGTAAGTCTAAGCCTCAGCTAGCTCTAGTTTGTTTGAAACAGACTAGATTGAAATTAAGAAATTCTCTGGAAAATGTGACAACAATGTGGGGAAGGGGAAAGTTATTTATTTGTACATGTATCTATAAAACTAGTTCCTTAGAATCATTCAATCATTATAAAACAATTAATAATACAATAAAGTCTAAAACTTGTAGCAATGTAAGAAGCCAGCATAATGAAGTACAATCCAAAATAAATAAAAACCCACAAGATTTAAGACCATTAAAAATCAAGAGAATTTAAACATCAATCCACTTCAGTAGATTGAGTGCTTAAAAGTCTGTTTTCAAAACATTTAATAAAAATATTTATCCAGCCTATATAAAGTATTATTTTAAAGGAGCCTATGGGAGACCATCTTTACAATGTTAGGGGTAATCTCTTCAAGGCATATAGATATTTACAGACATATGAGATCCAGATTGATGTTTCACTGTGATAAGCTACCACATCGTGCATCTGCTTACATTCCAAATAGTTTTCAAAAGAAATTGCAGGTACATTGAATAGAAATGACTGAGCTTTACATGATGGAGTTATCAATGAACCTCAGCCTTACTACATGATTTAATCCAATTGAAATAATAAAAATATACCTCTGAAAGGAACTTATTTTGAACCTGCTTTGCTTTAAATCTTTTAATCTTCTGTTGAATTCTCCTGTCTTTGTCCAGTAGTTCCACAGAGGCCCATTGACAATGGAGGTAAGAGCTAAAAGAAGAAAGAAAAATAATCATAGCACTATTTATCAGCTTAATGTTTATGCAAACTGATTGTCTTAATAAAATAATTATCTTAAAACTAATACATAAGCTGCAGAGTTTTATGATATCATTTAGCAAATAACTGCAATGGACATTTTGATTAAATATGGAAGATATGCTTCTTGTTTTATTAATATCATCTCCCTAAATATTGAGAAAATAATATTTTAGAACTAAAGAGGATATTTTCAGTAATAATCATTTTTACTGGAGAAACAAAGAACTCAATTCATTAAAAAAAATCCTGATTTGCCTGAGAGTATAGCAGAATGTGATTTGCTTGCTTTAGGTTAACAGTGTTGAAATGAGCTATGACTTAGCTTTGTGACTAATTCACAGCTGTTACTTGTTCAATAAACCTAGCTCATAACAGTGACCATCAACTTAAGTTAATCTGACGTAAACATTTTAACAGAATAAAAATGTTCAAAGTCAGATTGATTTAAATCAGATATTGCACAATTAAATATTTTCTATCACAACTTTTGCAACTGGAGAGCACATTTGGAATTCCTAGAATTGGTTGGGGGCAACTCAGAAATAGTTACAACTAAAACAGGGAAAGCACCAGGGTTTGATAGACCTCCAAGTTCATACTGTAAGCATTTTGAAGACCAACATTTGCAACGTGTGCTGAATTTTATTTTGCAGGGATCTGCTATGTGAATTGTGGAAAGAAGCTAATACTGCTTTATTGTCAAAAGAAGAACAAGATTTAATCTAAACTAAGATTTACTGTTGAATTTCATTGCTGAATAATGACTATAAAACATTTACATCAATTTTGGCTGATTAATTAAAGAAGATTGTGCAGGATTTTATTTATGATGACCAATATGGGATCTTACACAAAATTAAGAAACAATATAAGAACTGTATCTACAACAATATACCAACTGGCACTTCTTTATTTATTTAGTGTATGGTAATGTAACATTAGCCAGGAAACTGCAATGCTATTGCAGAATATAGTTTGACTGTGTTTGCTAGCTCTGTTTGGTTCATGCTTGCACGTTTCCAAAGATACGTGTCGGGAGGGAGAGCTAGCTCTGCACCAGAAAGAAAAACAAGTAGCTTTCCTGCAGCAGCAGCCGAGACCCTCTCCCTCCATCAAAGCCACCTCACAAACAGACATCACAACCAGGGAGGTGCAGGGCCGGCAGGATTCTGCTCATCTCTGTACTTCAGTATTATCTACTTATCTAGCTGCATAGAACATGCTTTTGAACTGTTAGGTGGACAGCAGCGGAAGCAAGTGACGAGAGCTCATCCCACCATGCAGTGCTAGAATTTGAACTGCTGGAGCAAAGATCATCTCCAGCATCATTAAGCCACTAAGCTATCATGCCTCCCTGCAAGTGGCACTGATTTTTCTGTATACAGAAAAAACTTTGACAATTTGAATTGGTCTTTTATGTTTAAAGTTATTAAAGATATGGACTCTGGAAATTTTCTTTTTATTCTGGTCTTCATGACAACACTACATTTTATGCATAGTTCAATTGTTTTAAAAAAGGGGACATATATAGTGGCAGAAGTGAGCAGTTTGGGAGATTTAACAAATATCCACAACACCCACTTCAATGTAACCCTGGTTCTATCTGCATTGCTCACAATAAACTTTGGCCATAAATTATAAGTGACAAAGAGATAAACTGGATTCAAACTGGTAAAATATAGCAAGTGCTATGAGCAGTTGGTTAGCAGAAGATGAATCCTACAATATACAAAAGGGCTGACTCCACCTCTGAACTAGAAGGCAAGACTTGAGGCATCTTCCTTTTCTAATATTACAAAACTTTCAGTGAGTTTATGTACTATAAGCACTCTATATCAGTGTTTTTCAACCTTTTTTGTGCAAAGGCACACTTTTTTCATGAAAAAAATCACGAGGCACACCATCATTAGAAAATGTTAAAAAAATTTAACTCTGTGCCTATATTGACTATATATAAAGTAATTTTCCCACGGCACACCTTACACTATGTCACGGCACACTAGTGTGCCGCGGCACAGTGGTTGAAAAACACTGCTCTATATGACCCTGGATGGCCCAATATGGCCGAAATTTGCATGTGGGGGCAAACTTATCCATTTTATAAAGATAGGTAGCTCTTCTGTAACAATTATACAAATATTTTTAATCACTGAAATAGGCTACTCATGTCCAAAACAATTTTTGTACTTTACAATTAGAAACACATCTATATTCTATTACTTAAGCAACGCCATCTTATATGATAAAAAAACCACAGCTACTATGTTGCAATTCCTGCCCTTTGGAATGATATCTATCCAGTTTCAAGTGACTCCCATCTATACATTGTTAAAGTAATTGTTGAAACTTAAAGAGTCTCAGAAACAAACAAGTCTTCCAGTTTCTTCAATAATATACTCGTGGGAACCTCATAAAACTCTGGATGTATACCGTTTCAGAAGGCAGGAATTGTAACATAGTAGCTGTGCATTTTGGGTCCTATAAGATGACACTACTTAAGTAATAGGATACGAAGTGCCCTTCTTCTGCTGGACTGAACCAACAGAGATAAATGGAGATGAGGGATCCTTCAGAGAGTCAGGCATAATACCTAAAAATATTATAAAGTAGTAACCGGCACTTTACTCAGACTAGGGCATGTGTGTCTAATCCAGGAAAGTGCTCAACTGCTGAAATAGATGTATCTATGCACTTGGTGACAACTAACAGATACACTTTGAGCAAGAGCTAGACATCCCAGAGGAGCCCCATATTTTGCACATTTTGAATGGGAAAGTCAGCAATGAATTATTTCTGAATTTTGAGGGCCCAATTAGACACAACCATTTGGTCTTGTGAAGACTGAACCTAAGTCTCATCCCCTTCCCTCATCCAGACAATCTCAGGTATTGGGTCAGGACTTAGACTACATCTTTATACCAGGGTTTGAGATATACAACTGGGTATCATATGCATATCAATGATACCTGACCCAAACTGGCAGGTGATTTCACCCCATGGTTTCCATGTAGATATTAAATAGAAAGGGGAGAAAGTTTTAAGCCCTAAGGCACCCACATGTGAGAGATCATGGGCAAGATTTCTTTCCACCTGTCAACACTGATTGAAAGTGGCCACAGAGAAAGGAGAAGTTATTTATATCAGGATTTGAGATATCTAATAGTATATCTAAATCTCTGGTATAAAGAGAAAGGCCAGCAAGGGTTGCAGGTGGGTGGTGAGGAGTGTGGACAGGACAGCAAGAGTCTTAGGCTGGTACTGAGGAGTGCAGACATTGTGGCATGGGTGAGCCAGTAAGAGTTACAGGTGGGCCAGTGGGAGATGCAGGTAGAATGCTGCAGTGGTTTGGTTATATAGATACTGGCTGTTTGTTATGGCCCAGTTACAGTCTAAGTATCTTGAATAATTTATTCAGGATCATCAGAAAGAAAATCAATGCTGAATAGTTTTCATTAGGGAAGTATGAATTGTGGAGAAAATGTCCTGAAGATTAATTTTCTTCTAGACTAAACCCTTGAGAAATAGATTTCAAGCATGCCTCGTGCCTTGGTTTCCTGGGGGGAAAAGGATCTCTCTTGGCCTTATGTGTGAGGCTGGCTGCAGACCTTGACTATGAAATTGTGTTTTCCATTTTGATGCTTTGTCCTCTCTCCACATCTGAATAGCACTTGCTGTATGTGCTTCTGAAAGCAGAAGTAGCTGAATACTTATAAACAAAGGATATAATTCTTAGGAAAATGCAGCCTCATGGGACATGTAAGGAGGCTAGGGCTTTTATGCCCTTCACAGATAACCAAGGTTCAACCAAGTCTACCTCTTCTCTCTAGTCTCAGAGCTACCATGCTGGAGTATCACTGGGCCATTTTGTTCTTTTGAAGCTGACCCATCATATCACCACATCCAGCATCCTTCAGCTTTCCTACTACCATCCTATCAATTTTCCTACTACAATCCTAACAGGAAATGCTCTCGAATTGTATCTTGGTGCTAAGTGATATATTGCTGTTGTGTATATTGCTGGCCTCACATTAAGTACCCAAGGATTCTGGGGGTCATCAGCTATATTACCCTCTCCTGAAATTTTGCTTGTCCACTTTGAAAGAGATCATCCCATAACTGGCCTGAACTTTCCTGCTAGCTAATGAAATTTTCTTGGCATTCCTCTCAGGCTGCAGGAGAGTTGCTGCAGTTGGCACAATCCAGTGTCTGCTTCATTAAAATAAGGACAAATTTTGGGTGGCCTTTAGTCTGCTTCATTGAAGGCAAGCTTGAAAACTTCTTACTTACTTTAGAGGTGATTGGACTTTTCCCTTGATGCTTTCTCCCCCACCCTCAATCTCCTGGGTTATTCTCTGCATAACTGTAGTTGACCTGTAACACTCTTAATTGTAACATTTTATTCTGAATTCTTAAGATGAATCTGCTTTCCCCTAGAAAGCAGAAGATAAGACTGAAAAGATGGGTTACCTCTATAGGACAGGAAGTAACCTTAAGATCCGCATTCTAGAGTTATAGTTGAACTATTAAACTCAATAAATTTAAATGTCAATTTCTAGAATGTCATTTTCACTGCAACTATAGCTGAAATTTACCTTAAAAGTGATACTCTGCAGCAGAAACTAAACAACACTGTAGCTTTTATATTTTTTTAGTCTGGAGTTCTGTTGACATCTAGTTACTAATCTCATGGTTAGAAAGTTCCAGCTCCACTCACCACTAAGTAGTGTATAAAATAAGACATTATGGATACATCTATTATAAGCAGAAATATTCCATAATGACACATATTCTCCTTCCAAACACTTAAAATTAATATTCTGTATTGCTACTCATATGCAGAACAGTATCTGTAATTGATTTGTACTTAATATCTAATGTTTATATATTTTTAACATGTTTTACATATTGTGGAGCTGTTTAAAGAATATTGAAGACAGGGGTTGCTTACAAGTTTTTGTATTTTACATAGAATTCTTCTGATAGTGTTTCTTCTCCATTCTCCATCTATAAAAAGAAAGATCAATGGTTTTAATTACAAACAACTGTGGTAAATATCACCTTAATCTTAGTTAATAGAAAATATTCCTCAAAAACAGGATGTGTTTGATATTTAATAGTAACAATAAAAATAGGATTTAAAAATTTCTTATATATTTTTAAAGGAAAAGCAGAGAGTTAGAAATGCAAAAACTTCCCTGAATTTACTTAAGCCTTGAAAATTCTACTCATTACAATTTCAAACACATGAATCATTGTAACTCCTCCCTAACCACACACAGCTTCATTCACAAGTTGACCCCAAAATGGCTTTCTGCCAAACCCACAGTGCTACAGAGAAGCCAAGTGTACCATTTTCTCAGGCAGCAGCCAATTAGCAACTGCACTCCTGAATGCCTTATGTATTATTTTTGGCTGGCTCTTGACAACTTTATATTGTGGTTTTGTGACTTGTTCAAGTAGTGTTTTAATATGGTTTATGGTTCCATAGCATTAGTACTGCTGAATAAGTATTCATATTAAAGCTGGACTTTAAATGTCTTATTGTTGCTTTAATGCATTTTTTATATAGTTTTACTTGATAGTGCAATTACACGAAGCTTGGCAAAAAGTCCTTGCATATCAAGTAGGTAAACAAAAGCCCAAATGCTACTTCCATTGCTTAATTTTAACACAATCCTGTTAAGTAGGATGATGTATCATGCAAGCACAAAATCTTATTTTAGACTTTGAGATGCAACTTTAAATTACAATTCTGTGTTTAAAGTGTGTAGATACCACCCAGATGAACAGGACTTCTCAGACTTACAACCACTGTGGTCATTTTATCAAAGTAAGGGCACTTGATAACCAGCATGTATTTGTGACAGTTGTTGTGGTTCCAGGTCACATGATAGCCATTTTTGACTTTCCCAGTCAGCTTCTGACAAGCAAAATCAATGCAGGAAACTGAATATGCTTAACAACCGTGTGATTCACTTAGTAACTGCAGTTATTTGCTTAACAACTGTGGCAATAGTGATTAAAAGGTTATAAAAGTGAGCCCAACTCACTTAACAACAACTTGTTAACAACCGAAATTCTGGTCACAATTCCGGGTGTAGGTCAAGCACTACCTCTACTCTGTTTGTGAAAAAAGAAATCAATGGCAATTGTCAAAAACAATTTGGATATAGCTTCTGGTATTAATGACTAAAGGTGGAGGAAAAGTTTCTCCCCCTCTTCTTGTAGCTTTCAGGACTATCTGGTAGAGATGGAGGAAGTTAGTAGATGACTTGCTGTCCCCAAAGGGGAAGGAATCTCCGAAGGGAACACTGGCAAGTATTTAGTAATATTGTTTTAGGATGTAGAATGACCAAGATTTTAAAGTTTTAATTTTTATATTTTGAAATTCTTTTTTGTGTTGTTCTAAACTGATTGAAAAGAGATTTTCAAAAAAGAAATCTAAGCACTCCTCTGCCATAAACTTCTTCCAAAATTAAGCAATATTCCAATTTGCTTATTGTTTCATTTAAAATACATTTTTGTAAGCCTAATCATTTACTTTTTGAGATACCATATTTTTCAGAGCATAACATTCTCCGGACTATAAGACGCACCTTAGTTTTTGGGGAGGAAAATAAGAAGAAAAAACATTCTGCCTCTGCCTACCAGCATCCATGGTATTCAGGTGATACATGGTAACAAGATCAGCCAATGAATAAGCATAGCAACTAAGTCAGCCAATGAGGGCTATTTGGACTCTGAAACAGTATTTGCTGTGTGAGCAACAAGGAGACAGGAAGAGAACTGAAGGTGAAACTGCTTGTGTTTTGTTTGTATTTACTGCTATCTTGGAAAACCTGCTTTTGGTAATGTATTGTCTATTATTATTTTGAATTCCGCTGAATCACTTACTGTGCTTTGTGAATGTGATTGCTGCTACAAACTCTGACCCTCCAGGTCAGCTTCAGCACTTATTGCAGCCTGATTCAGCACAGTTGATTGGTGGGTGGATCAAACTGCAGGAATACCCCCAATCAGATGTTCTAGGCTGTAGGGATTGCCACAGACCATCACTGCCTCCATGCTTCACGTTTTTTGGTAAGGGGGAGGAGCTACATTCATTGTATAAGACACACCCAAATTTTCACCCTCTTTTGGGGGGAAAAGCTGCGCCTTATACTCCCAAAAATACAGTATACCACTTTTTAATTCTGTTCTTAAGTTTGCTTACAACATAGAGTTTTCTAGATATAGTAAACAATATACCCCATTTCTAATCAGGATAACCATTCTAAATATTCTTAGTCCTGGTTATTAATGTGTAAACTGATTTTCATATATTTACTAAAATTATTTAATATGACATTAACTGAATAACTACAGTGCATACATTCTGAGATAATTTTGAGATATGAACAACCCAACACTTTGTATCTTTACACTGTGTACTGGGTACACAGTGTTTAAAATACACTGAGTAAAATATATAAAGTTGTCTTAGATTGTAACAGATGCCAAATCTAATTTAACTGTAAAAATCTTATTAGTTTAAATTCAGCTAGTGCAGAAATTAAATTCTTCTTTTAGTATTGTGAATTATTATAGTGATTATGCATGAAAAGATGATCTACTAAATACTCTTATACTAAACATATACTGTCCCTAGTTTTTCTGGCACAGGTTGCACTTAAAGATGACTCCTCCACCTCACAGTTTTAGTGTAACTAAGAAAAAATATTTTTTTAAAAGAATACTAATTAATTTTAGTTAAGCTGATTTGTACTGTAGGGTAATCAAATGAATAGACTTTGTAATTGAGAGATGTAATATAAGTCCATGTATCTGAGTCTGTTGTTTCCTTCACAGCAATTTTAACTTTTTTTTTATTCTGCAAAAATCTTAATATCTTTATGCTGCACATTGTTACGCTAAGCATTTTTTGACAGAAACTTGTTATCTCCAGTTTTCAGCCCCCCCAAAACTCAAACCCATTCATATAATGCATTTGTTTAACGACCATGGTATTCAATTTATAACAGCAGCATTTGCTTAACAACCATTGTGAGAAAGGCCATACAATCAGGCATGTGTCACGTAGTGACCTACTTAATGATTAGCATGTCTTACAACAATAATGGTCACAAGTCAAGGATGAGCTGTAAAAATATGTTACTCAATTTTGGGTAATTAGCCATGTTTGAGAAACATTGTTCTACAGAATAATGCAGGCTGCAGTGTTGGATATGACTATCAGGTTATTTTGGCAGTAGTCTCAACCAAAAATAATTCTTCCTAGCAAAATTATCACCTATTACGATGAAAGAGATAGGTGAAAATAAATTCAGCAAGTGGACTATTTCTAATTTAGAATCAGTTTAACTCCCATTACATTACTGTGGAGAATTACTAGTTTCTAACAGCTCCCCCATGAACCAGAAAAGAGGTTGTTCTTTTCACTGATAATGGAGGAGTCTGAAGGTCACTATTCACAAAAATGTCTCCTGCATATAATCACACTCAAATAAATATTGTTAAGAAACTACTGGCACGGCAAAAGAATCTAGCCAAAGTAGCAAAATGTGGGCTACAAATGCTTTAGATGATATACATTTTGGTTTGGCCCTGGTAATACGACAGTATTATTAATGTTTTTTTCTAATATAACCATTTACATTAGAGGCTGAAAGAGAGGTGAAATTATTTAGGGATAGACAGCCTCCTCCTGTTGGAAATACAAAATATTCTACAGAATCCAAAGTACAAAACTATAAGGATATGAATTCAGAGCATTGGCTCTAGTAAAGAAAAAAAGGAAACCTTCTATATGACCTAAAGCAGATAAATGTATAGACACACAGACGATACACAATCTTAATGAGCAAATAATCTGGCCTTAAAACAGAAGCCTTAATATTAATTTCTTATGTACTACTATGAAAGTGAGAGGAATGCAGTGGCTCAGTGGCTAAGACACTAAGCTTGTCGATCAGAAAGGTTGGCAGTTCAGTGGTTTGAATTCCTAGTGCCGTTTAACAAAGTGAGCTCCCGTTACTTGTCCCGGCTTCTGCCGACATAGCAGTTTGAAAGCATGTAAAAATGCAAGTAGAAAAATAGGATCCACTTTGATGGGAAGGTAACAGTTTTCAGTGTGCCTTCGGCATTTAGTCATGCCGGCCACATGACCACAGAGAAGTCTTCAGATAGCGCTGAATCTTTGGTTTTGAAACAGAGATGAGCACCATCCCCTAGGGTCGGGAACGACTAGCACATATGTGTGAGGGGAACCTTTTACCTTTACTATGAAATCATAATTCTAATTTCATATCAGAATGTGTAATAATAATTTTCAATTTATTGAAATCTACAGCTTTATGAAGAATTATAAAAATAACATATATCCTATCATTCATTTCTGCCGTTTCCAATTTCTTTAAATATTACCCTTGAACTTTAAATTAATCTCTCAGATTAGATAATGCTGAAATTTAAAAACCTATTCATTTTTTCCCTAAAAAACAGGCACACCAATAATAATTAGCAATGTTTTGATTGACAGTGGTTAGAGAATTTACAGTGAAACAAACTATTCTAACAATGAAGATTAAGATAATAAACATTACCTGTTTCTTGATTATGCGGCTACTCAAAATTTTTTCTACTACAGGACCTTCAGCATCAGAAGATTCCTTAAAATGAAATATTTTATAGTAACTATTGAATAAAAGTACAGAAAGGAATATCCATATTGTCAGAACTGGTCATATGTCTCTATTATTGACCTCTGGAAATGTCTAACTTGAATTTGCATAATTCCCAGTCACTTTGGAGAAAATTATATCAAATATAATATTGAACTTTCTAAAGAGTCATCAACTTTCCCCACCATTCTGTCAGAACTGAAGAAGCTTCTTGGATGAGAAGCGAAATGTTTTTAAGGAAAAAATCAAAAAAGTTCAATTGCCTTTTGGAAAAGCACCTTTGGGACAACCATGACCTGAGTGATTGAGAATTTCCATAGAAACTTCACCATGTTTGATATCAATATAAGATCAATATTGTAATCTTTTTTCAGTCAGGTTTTAAAGAAATAATTTCCTATTTCAATCATTTTCTTGCAGTTGTGCAGCGGCCACTCTGGAAGAGAACTTACAATTTTCGGTTGTTTCCTTCCCTTTTTATAGAATATTGCTACATCAACATGAGAGAAATGGAAGTAATATAGTTACTAGAACAACTTTTTTATCAGCATCCTGTCAGCTCTCCCATGTAAACCAGACAAGAGACACAGACCAGCTAATTCTAATTTATCGTAAGACTACATTTCAAGTCTGAAAGTAAAATCTGTCTCTTTTAACTGTCTGATCAAAGAGTGCAAGTCTTTTCCAAGTTTCTTTCTCTGATCATTAAGTCATTGGGGATTCCTCCCTCTCTTGTCTAATTTTTCTTTAGAAAGCATCTCTTTCCTTCATTCCTCCATATCATTCCCACATACCATTTACATATCCCAAAATCAGTATACAGTTCTATATATAGCTCTATTAGTGTTTCACATATTAGGAAAAAGGAAAACAAACTATTGAGAAATAAGGGTAGAGAAGAGACAATAGGTAAAAATATCAGGAGCTATCAAATAAAGCAGTTCATGAACCAAAACAAAAAATTACAAGTTAAATTTTAAATCCTTAAATGGCTGCTGACAATTCCTAGAACCAATCTAAGGGAAGCTCATTTATCTCTAGAAGTGATTCAGGAGCTAGGTAACTTGCTCTATTACAAAAGTTGTTTTTTCAAATGGAAGAAACACATTTTTAAATCATTTATAGTTTAAAGAAGAGGTCTTCACATTCTGCTAAATAAATATATAATGAAAAAATGTTAGCTTTGTACAGGATACTTTTAATGCTAACATTCATCAAGAAATCTTATTTTTATTTACTAACTTTTATAATGCATTTTTATTTTATTTCAATATTCAATAAGTCTTACAACCATATAAAGTGCTTGCTTCGGCAGCACATATACTAAAATTGGAACAACCATATAAAAATACAAAAAGAAAGCATAACAAAGTTAATGCAACTAAACTAAAACAATAAATCAGACTGTTAATTAGATATCAATTAAAGGCTCGGTGTTTACTGTTTTCCTAAACATGCACACTAAATGATTCTCATTATTTTTTTCTGAATATTCATATAGTTGACTTTCTATTAATAGGGCCATCTTCAGAAGAACTTCTCCTGCTATTTCGGGTAATAGGGGAGAACTACTATGGGGTAGTGCACCCTGAAAATAATCAGATCCTAATCCAGTCCCTTAATTTCCGTCTAGCAGGCAACTGATTGCAAGTGGAATGTTCCAAATGCAGAATTGTTGCAAATATTTGACGCGACATTAGAAAAGATTTAAGAAAGCTTTTAAAAATAATTATTGACCAATAATTACTTCAGTATGCCCATTTTCACCAGTGGTTTCCTAAGTTAGTTATATGAAGGGTTTTTTAAACATTGTAATAGTACTCATTTTATATCATCACTATTTATTTTATTCAATTCATTTTATCCATCATTTACACTACATAAAAAAATCAAGCATATCCCACTGCTAACTAAAAGACAGTAATTTCATAAAGGGATTCTTATAGTACCTGACAGCAGGAGACAAGCTTGAGTGGTTTATTAAGTCATAGAAGCCAGAACACTGAATTCAGAGAGGTAAATTCTGTCTCTTTGCAGCCTCGTTTTAAGCTTTTCAACACAGACCATTAATTTCATTAAAATTACATATTGTTGGCATGTAAAGAAAATGTGAATGAACACAGCCTTTAAGAATCTAAATAACTAATTTATTTTGGCATGTTGAGCCAAACTGAGATGGAAATACCTTGGAAGGGAAGCAACACTACAATATTGTACAGAGTTTATTTCTCAGTTTGAAGAATATAAACAGACCTGTTGCTCGGACTGAGAATTATTTGAAGGGGAGTTTCTTCCCGCAGCATCTGCATCATCAACTTCTTCATCAGAAATCTTGAATTCCAAGTCTTCTGTATAACGCTTTCTTTTAACTTGCCTGCTAGAACGCCTCTTCTGCAAAAAAGAAATAAGAAATGATTGTGTATGATTTTACTCTGTTATCAATAATAACTATTTCTTTCTAGTCCCATATTAGTGCTTTCATACAGAATGGTTTTCTTCTGTTTGTTGGGCAGATGTTCAAGTTCATATATCACTGTGGGAGAATCCTATGTACATGTGAATGAGGTAATACCCCAACAGCCAGGTTCACTTGGCCTGTGAACTACAATATTTGCATCACCATTTGTTTACTGAATTTCTATCTCACCTTTTCGTCAAAACTGCAGCATGTGAATTTTTAATTATAAACTTTAAAAACAACCCCATTAGTGACATTCTGGGAAACTTAAGACTGACTTGAAATACAGGCTTCATATTGGAGATCTTAACCTGTATAAATAGCATGAGCAAGCTTGAGTGGATCTGACCACTTTGGTTGTGCTTGTGGCATACTGGCCAAAATGATTCAAAATTGATTGCTGTGTCCTTAGTATTAGTAAGGTTTGCCGGAAGGGCTACAGATATGACTTAAGTTTAGTACGCTAGTCTACTAATTCATTATCTTATAAAAAGTATTATGTAAATGTTTCAATTGACCAAAACCCTGATGATCCCATGACATATTAAATATTGTAGATTGAACTTTAAGTGACGCACAAAGTAAAAGGTATAATATTCATGAAAATGTTCTGTTTGTGAAATAAAGAAAAAAAAAATGAAAGAATGTAACATCTGAAAGAAATTTATCATCTGAAGTGGAACTTGTTTTCATGCAAAGAAGTCCAGATGATTTCAGTATGGATAAAAAAGTTAAATACATGTTAGAAAATATGAACTCGTATAATCTGTAATGCACAGGTCAATAGTAATTGTGTGGTACAATTACTAAATAGTGAAATTTTAAAAAATGGTGTTTTTAATATATGGATTAAGCACAAATCTATTCACAAAATATACAAGGAGAAAAATGAATACAATTCTAAAAGCATGACTGATTTTATTGTTTACGAAACACTGACAGAGTTAGGAAGGCTATAATAGCGATCAGAGATTCTAAACCTGGAATAGACCATCTTTTGGTAGAGTGGATTTTTGGAAAAGTTATACAGAAGGAAAAAAGCAATAACAAAATGAAAGAAAAACTATGAATCCTGTATAAAGTATTAGTTGATCGCAGCGGTGGGTTTCACATTTTGTTACCACTAGTTTGCCACGTGTGCGCCGCTTCCACACGTGTCCAGCAAAATTTTTTTTAACACAGTTAGGGAGGGAATCCATGGGTCTCCGGTGGGGGAGGGGAAGAAAGAAAGAGCCAACCAGTTTGTGTGTCTGTTTGGGTATGGGTGAGAGACTGCATCAAGCTAGACTGGGAAAGTTGGCTGCATGAGGAAGAGAAACTGGATAAACTGTTTTTGGGGCATTTTCAAGCCGATTTCAGGCCTTTTTTCAGGTTGTCTTTCAGGCCGGTGGTTTGATTTGCCGGTTCTCTGAACTGTGCAGAATTGGAACAACTGGTTTGGACGAACCAGTCCCAACAGGCAGCAGCCCACCTCTGATCTGAGTAAATGTGGGCTAGTCACTCTCTCAGTTGAAGAAGGACTTAACAAAACTTGCCAAGAACACTGCAGGGACTTGTCCTTGCAACGCACAGGACCTAAAGACATTTAAAACAAACAAACAAACCAAAACCAGTCTTTTGGCATATATCTATACTATTTATTTTCCATATCCTATTCCAGCAGGACTTCAGTTTCTGTTTTTTATTAACTACAATTTACTAGAATGTTCCAAACCTAATCTTTCATTAAACTCAACTGCAGCGAATTGAAAAAAGCCATCATCATAATTACTTCAAGGAACTTATTGATGATAGAGCATTATACAATTCAGATAAATTGTGATTAACTTGACAGCAAATTGACATTTCCAAATTTTTCATCAGGTTTTTTTTTTAAAAAGGGGGTGCGCTTTTGTTTTCTTGTAAAACTAAACAATAGATTAGCATTATATCTGAATGAGGCCATAGTGCTCAACAATCAGATATGAACAAATGACCAATGGAAGTACCTGAATTCCTGCATCATCTTCCTCTTCAGGATGTGGTGATCCTAGTGGTGTTTTTTCCACATCTGAGTTTTCAGAACCTTCCTTTCCCTTGTTGACCTTTTTCTTCACTGCACTAGATTCCGATTCTGCTTTCTTGTTACTGAAATATAAATATCTTTAATTAGTATTGCATATACAAATCCTTTCCTATTCTGAAATGGAGTAAATTTCCAGAAACTATTACAGCTGTTTCAATTTCCTCAATCTAATGAACTTTTTAAATATTATTTTATAAATGCTATTGGGCCCATTTAATTGCAATATGTATAAAACCAAAATAAATATAAAAAAGTCAGTTTGTTGAAAATGTTAACGAAGTATACACAGTAAAACAAATTGAGAAAAGTATCTGAAGGACAAATCTTGACATGTTTATCTTAAGCAGCATACATCTACATGTACACTAAGCCTGTTATATTTTCCTTTAGAATTCTCCTTTCTAGGGTAGATATGCCAACACTGCATAAGTCAGTATTAAAATGGGGGCACGGATAGAGATAAAAAAGTAAAACCTGGCTTCTAGTAAATAAAATTTAGGCACTTCAAAAACCATACAAGTACATTGAGTATTCATAATACCTTCATATTGCCAAGAATAATGATAATATAATAAGCATATGGGAATGTTAAATCTGTTGAGATTAATATTGTATTCAGGACATAAATAGCAATTTTTGATTCCATGTGGGATTTCTGAAAAATATTCTCATAAGAGATGAAGCAAAATTTAGTAAATTTAGATGTATGGTGTACATGTTATTTAAAGACTCAATCATGAACATTCAGCTGAAATTACTTTAATAACTTGAAAAACACAAATGAAAACATACATAATTTCACAGAACTCCATCAGATGTTATCTCAAATTCCTAGAAACTGTACATGTAGTTTTGGCAAATGTATTCATGATATTCCGAAGGAAGGAGAGATTTGATAATTTACTGAGTTAAATGTTTTCATTTGACATTTTATGTTGAAGTCATACAAATAGGTTTCTAAATGAACTGATTGAGAATCATTCTAAGCCATTATTTTTACACAAACAGTAAAGAATAAAATTCTTTATACTTCTCAAATGTCAATTTATAAACACACATTTGATTTTCAAAAAGCTCAAAAAAAAAAAAAAGAAGAAGAAGAAATCTGACAAGGCCAAACATGGGTTGATATGTGTTAAGTGTCAGAAGACAATCATTTTCTTCAAAATGAATCTTCACAACTGTTCTGTTTCCAACCATGCCAGTGTATATATACTACATGGACAGTAGCCTCCCCTACTATGAGGCTCCATTTCCAGCATTTATTTCCGCTCTAACTGCCACAAATTATACAATGCTACAGCTGAATGCAGGGCCCCTTTCCTTTCATCTGCACGCCAAGAGCAATCAGATTACCCTGGTAACCAGTGATCACATGACCAGCACCTGCTCTTTTGGCTGGATGCCACTGACTAAAGCCATCTGCTTCCCTCAATCAGCTTTCAAACATTTTCAACACCTGCGCTGCAGCATTTTGTGGTTTCTTTTATCAAATCAGTGGAAAACTGCTTCCCTAACTTTACATATTTCTCAAATTTGTTTAAATCAAAGGTAAGCCTGTCGTGCTTGAACTGTTGCCAGATAAAACAAGTTAACAGGTTACTACTTTTTACTGGTGACCTCTATCAATCAGACCATACAATTTAGCTTAATAATAGTTAGCATACCTTGTGTGCAGTACTGCTTATGAGTGGCTAGCTTGACATATTGATGAATTCTTTAGAGCAAGTTTGATAACATGCTAATATCCTAAAAAGCTAAAAAGTGGTAACATGCTTTGTATTCTCTATTTTTTAAGACAGAGAGAAAATTCAAATACTTACACAGAAGGAAGTTTCACTCTGAATTGTCTGCAAAACCAGCTGTGCTTTTTTTAAACTACTATCACCCATCAACTAGAGCAAGGGAATTACTCTAAACAAACAAGATGAACTTAAGCCTTGTCATTGTTTCAGGATTATTTTTTTCATTTTCCAGACTGGACTCAATGTCTTCTACATAGTTTTCTACCACTGAATTCTTCATTTCAGAACCCTAACTATATGTAGAGGGATAAGAAACTTGCTATTCATAAAAATATTAGGGATCTGGAGCATTTTCTTGATCTAGTGCAAATTATCCAGAAGCTAACTATAGAGGCTAACAGATTTTCTGCTGAGATAGATAGGTAGTGTAGAAGAACAGGCTGCTGGGAAAATTGCAGGCACCTGTGTTGTCTTTTACCCCATTTATTTGAGCCTTCTCAAATAAGTGGCAGCACAGCAGAATTGCTTATAAAAGGCTTAAGTTTGAAACTGGCAGGGGAGGAAATATGTGAGCTTTTATAACAACAGCAGCAACAGCATAACAAAGATGCTAAATAAAAGGTGTTTTCTTCACAGACAAGGAAAGGGTTTGGAAGAAAAGGAAGATGCACAGTCAAGCCCAGAATTGAGAAGGTGCCAGTGCTTTACATGCTGGCTTTAATAAAGTAGAAATTAAGAGTAAAAGAAATCCTAGAAAAGAATTAGGGAGAGGATTTAAATCAGGGCATGTAAAAATAAAATACAGCGTCGTAGTAGTAAAATAGCAATAGTAATAGCACACTAGTAGTAGAACAGTATGTCCAAAATGTGCTTTTTCAAAAGACAACTGGATTTTGTTTTTCTTTGAAGACATTTTGCTTCTCATCCAAGAGGTTTCTTCCATTATGACTGAATGGTGGAGGATAGAAGGATGTATGCAGTCATCTGGCTGTTAGCACTCTTTCTGAGACTGGTTGAGGCCACTTGGAGGTTCATCTGTGCCTTCAGGATCACCCGAATAATGCAAATGGACATGGAACTTTTTCAGAACTGCTGTAACCAGGAGATAGGTAGTGTAGTATCTCTCCCCCTCGATTGAAAGAGGGCTGTTCAATCTTAACGTAGACGGCCTCTTTAACCCCTCTTTCAAACCACTGGTCTTGTCTGTCTAGAATGTGGATTTTGCTGTGTTCAAAAGACATGTCTTTCAAATGCAGATGGACTTCTGAATCTTGTCCTGGTGTGTTTATTTTCCAACATTGTACCATGCATTTGTGAAGTGGTGATGTTTCATGTCTGTCTGTCTGATTGACTGACTGCATTGTACTGCATACTGCTCAGTTTGTGCCTGGGTGTTTATCCTTGGGATGGACAAGCTTCTGCCTTAGTGTATTTTTGAGTTTAAAATGTATATGTATATTGGGTTGGTTGAAAATCCGGAGTTTTTCAGATATTCCTGCAACATATGGACTGACGTTACAGATTCAGGCTATTTGCTGGTATTCTGCTATAGTTACAAAATCCTCTTTCCATTTTTTACACTTCTTCTTTTGGACCTTCAGTTTGTCAAAAAGTTCTTTGTGCAACCATGCAGGTCTCATCAAATGTTCCATTTTAATTTCTTTGTGGTATTTAAGCCTTTATTACCTTATTTTCAGAGTTTCCCAAGCATCCTGAACTGTTATTTTATTGAAGTCACGTCTCTTAAAATCTAGAACAGCTTCCAGATGGGCGTGGTCTGAGAGGAGTTGTTGTTTTTAACAGCTCCGGATCCTTGGCTGCGTTAAGCTGTCTAAACAGTATCCACCAACTGTTTGACAGTTTGATTACCTTTTCTCCGGGCAAAGAGGAGGAGGTGAGGAAGCTGTGTTTGGGTAGCGCTCCATTTAGCGCCCCCAGAACATAAATCTGGGGGTGGGAGGTGTGAGCCACCAGGCAACACAGTGAATTCTCGGCGTCAAGGAATTCTTCTGCCTTTTTGCAGAATGAAGGCATATGTCCACCCTCAGCTCAAGGATTGATTTATTACTGATCCCAGCACGGGCAGAACTGATACTGGAGAACTTCTAATTGTATGTATTAAGACTTTAACTCCGTTTTTTAAAGAATTCCTTCTGATAAACTACTTGGTAGAAACACACAGAAAATGGCGCCGAACAGCTTTGTAGGCGGGGTCAGGCTTTGATGCCACAGATATTTACAGAGCTCAGAATAGTTAAAGATCATTAAATCAGTAGTGATTTATTACTAAACTAAATAGTAATTGCTGGACAAGCGGCTTGCCTGGATTTAGTAATTGGGTGGAGAAGATTAAATGTGAAATGGCCTCTAAGCAGCAAAAGATAAATGCCTCAAAGAGCGCTGGTAATTCACCTGCTCCTGGAACTAAATTACAGTCACTACTCCCCCTCAAACCCCCTCCTACCCCCGCAGGGGAGCCTTTGACCCGAGAAATACTGCAAAAAGAACTAAGTGTGGCCTTAGCTGAGGCCTTAAAAAAATCATGCAGCTGTGATGGAAATTAAAATACAGGAAAAGATATCTGCTGCCAATAAGGAATTGTCAGAAGTTATGAATTCGGTCCAGATTCGCAATCAACAAATTAGAGGCGATATTTTAGACGCTTTTA